ATTAATAATATTAATAAAAGAATTTATTAAAATAATAAATAAAATTAAATAATAATAAATTTTTATTTACATACCTGTAAGATAACATTTTTTAAATTAAAGTATTATAGCATTTAAGCATTCTATCTACAAATAAAGTATTACAAATATCTTTTAAAATTAGATTAATATATGCTATACATTAATATTTAAAATGCTTAGATATTTTTAATAATAATTTGTCATGTAGCTTAAATATTAAGACTAGCATCTGTTATATTAGCTGATATTTTTTCTAAATTAACTATTTCTAAAACTAAAACTATTTCTTCTGCCAATAGTTCTTTAGTATTCCTTTCATTAGATAAGTTTCAAAGATTTCATAAATATTGACAATGATCAAATATATGTAAAATAAAATTTCAAATTGATTCATTAGAAGAATTACTCCATTCATTTCAAATTAAATAATTAATTAGTTAGTAATCAAGTTTTCATTTTTTTGAAAAAGATTCACTAATTTTACCTGCTTTTATTACTAAATGTTCTAAAAAATATCTTGAATTTCTACTAGAATTTTTACACACTGTAACAGGTAAAATTTTAGATAGATTTAATTAGTAGATTAAAAAATCAATTTTATTGCTATGTAGATCTTATAAGAAGATCATTTTGTCCATTTTATTATCATCAATCAATTATATAAATCCTTAGATAACAATTTTATTACTTTGATAATTATAAAATAAATGGCTTCAGAATGGTTTCCTGCTATCGAAGAAATAATGATATACTAGAATATATTCTATAGCTTCTTAAACTATAAATTTGATATTAGTTAAATCTAACCTTTTTGAAGATAGACTTAGCATATGAGTATCAAAGGTTAGACTTAGTGACCCTTAATTATGTAGATCATAGATATTTATTTAGTGCAGATCTGGCAATTTTATTAACACAGTAACTTTATTGCCTAGTAAAATGATAACTTTATTTTCTTCAATATATTTAATTTAGTTTATTTTATTATTTATTCAATATGTATAAATATCTTTATATTTTCTTTAAGTCTCAGCACTGATGAAATATTAATCTTTTAGGTATCAAACTTATATATTATATTAATAAAAAAGTATAATTAATCAAATATAAAACTTATCCTTCGCAAACCTTTTGAAACTGTTATAAATCATTTATGACCCTTTGCATTTATGCAATTTCTTTAACTATTGTAAGTAAATTTATTATATAATATTGTATTAATTTGCTATATTAACTTGAAGTCTCTAAAGCATAATTTCTGAAATATCTTTGAATTATCAATGTATTTATTTTTTTATGTGTTAATATATTAAGAATAATCTTAGACATTATTGTAAATCTTCACCTATGATTCCTCAAGTAATTATCTTAGTTTCATTTATTCTTTTGAAATTTTATTTAAAGTTATGAAACTATCATAATAATACAAATTTTTTAAGTAGTTTTCAAGGGTTGCTGATGAGCTATTATATTAAAACACTTAACAAAATATTATATGTCATGTTCTAATTACCTTTTGAAATTTATTTTCTTATTGAATATATATTTTTCAAACTATTGATTTTGATTTTTCACCAACTTTTTATTAGGTAATAAAGTATTATCAGTTGAAGTAGTTAAATTAGCATCCATTTTATAAGATATAAATATGTTAATACTAATGATATTATATATTTGATTTTTACGTAAATAATTAAGTTTCAGAGAATTTTAATTAATTCAGATTAAATTTTAGATTTGGGTAGTATCAGATTCATTTAAACATTTCAGAATTTTTTATTAAAGCGTCATTTTGATTTTAGATTTAAATCAAGTGTAATAATCAGATTTTACCTGAACCTTTAACTTAGATACTTTCATAATATCAATTTATTAAACTTAATGTTGATATATATATTTAATATTTTACTTTTTCTTTTTATATATTTATTTTTAAATAATTGTAGTAGAATGATAGATTGTTAAGCCTAAATAATTTTCTACTAATCATTTTAAAAAGAAATGATTAGAAAGAAAATCATCATACAAAAGTTCAGCAGTTAAATTTTTATTGTTTCTTTGATTTGTTGAGCTCTTAACTATAACTCTCTCTAATCTAATCTAAGTATATTAAACTTTAATATAACAATAACTATTATATAAATATATTTTTTAAAACATATTTTGATTTAAAAAATTTGTTAAATAATATGTCTATATTTACTATTTAAAAGTAGATTTATCAGATATAATTACTATACTAGTATTTTTTTTAAAGCTTAGTTTTAATATTTATTAAATGACTTATAAAAGGATTAGTAATTCATAATAAAATCTTTTAAGATTTTTGGTAAATCTTAGAATTTTAAGAATATTTTTAGTCTTAATTTATTACCTAAAATGAAAATAAAAGATATTATATATGAAGAATTTTTTTCAGTTTAAAAATTTTTAGTGAAATATAAAGTACATATTCAAAAAATTAATATTTTTCTTATAATTAGAATAGCATATTTTTCTATGTCGATAATCAGGCAAGCCACAACAAAGCTTCATAATTAAGTTTATTAAAAATTTTTAACTACTTTATAATGATAAAATGAGTTAATATGAGAAAATATTAAACAAAATAATGTTAATAAATTTTAGGCAATTTCTATTTGTACACAGGGTGTTTGAACAGGATCACATGACATGGCCAGCATTAACTTTATTTTCGCCGGCATTAATAAATTAAGAAATTAAACATGTGACGGATATTTAGTGACGAATACATCCTGAAATAAATAGTAAAAACTAAGGTGGAGGGTGTGACACCAGTGACCAATATATATTACGAGATCTGGTTCAAATATCTGTGACGACTTAGAAATTTTCTAAATTTTATTAAAGTAAAATCGATAGCACGATTGCGTCAAAAATCATCAAAAAAAAATATTCAAAAACGTCCAAAAATATATTCTTGAAGTAATATTCCTATTTATCTAATTTTTTTTTCTGGAAAATTGCACAAAAATAATTGTTCCCACTAAAATGATATAAAATTTCTCATAATACAGTTAATACAGTTTCTGTTAAGAATAGATTTGTGAAGATTTTTTTTTTTTTTTTTAGGAAATACTTTAATCGGCTGCCGAACCTAATGCAAAAGCCTTTAAAGAAGTGAGAGTAAGGTTTGAGCATATTTATCGATCATGTCATCCGAGCTTGATTTATTGAGGCTAAGTAATCTGAGAAGGGATCAGGAATGAAGCAGTTTATAGAGAAGAACATCAATCACAAAGCTGAAAATATTGGGCTTAAAGCCAGAATTGAGGAGCTATAGAAAATAAGACAGATAACACTAAACACATGTCCGAGAATGCTGGGCTTAGAGATAGCGTCATGAAATTGGAACTGAGGCAGATGCTAAATGATGATTATTCTAGCACAGTTTAATTCTTGCCTTCAAGCGTGAATGAAAAGTAATATGAAGATTGATGCTTTCTTAGATGAGATGCATAAGCAAAGCGTTGAAGATGAAATAAGGCGACGCTTCTGAATATACTGTTGAACTAATGTACTAGGTTAAGTTTATAGTTATTTCGAACCAGTGGAAAAAAGAAATCATTCTCAACTCAGGTGTCAATAGATTGTCTCAGAAAATCAGTCTTAATTCTAGCACTAAGCTAGTATCAAAAAAACTCTGAAGATCACTTCAATAGTTTATGAATGATAGCGCAGTGATTTTTATTAATAATTAAATACAGAAAAAGTACTGTCATTGCTCTGAAAGTTTTGCTTCTAACCATCCCTTCATGCAAGCTCGCAAATATATATTTAGCCTTTTCCTATTCACATTCTCTCAATAATAATAAAAAAAAATACAATTACGCGCAGTAAAAATTTGTTTCTTTTTTTTTTTGTGTCATCACTTCAATTTTAAAAAAAATAAAATACTGATCCACAGCAAAGAATACGATTTCTTTCTTATGTTGAAAGAAATTTTAGGTGCGAACATTTTTTTCTTTGGTTGAGTTACCCCTCATGTAAACGATTTCCGTAATAATAATATCGAGTTTCTAGATTTGAATTGAGATGTTTAAAATTGGTAAGTTTGCACTAATTAAGGAATAATCATTAAGTAACGTAACCTACTTTATTAACGTCATCCATCCGTTTATTAACGTCGTCCTTAACATTATCAATCCGTTCTTTAAGCCGTTCTTCAGCTTGATCTATTCGTTTATTAACCCGTTCTTCTGCTTTATCGATCCGTTTATCAACCTGATCAATAGTATTATCGATCCGTTTATCAACCTGATCAATAGTATTATTGATTCGTCTATCAACCTGTTCAATAGTATTATTGATCCGTTTATCAACCTGCTCTTCAGCTTGCCTGATCATTTTCCAAACGCCTATAAGCGATCCACAACTAATTCCTGCAATTGTAGTATAAACACGTACATCTTCGGAATTCACTAATTTTCATATAGTAAAAAAATTAATTTTATTTAATAAATTTTATTACAACACCATAACACTTACTATTACGCAACATCGATTTGGCCATTCCAGTTGACAAACGTCTGATATTAGAAAAATGTAGTTCAAGTTTATTCATAACGTAAAAAAAAGTTTTAGAAAAGAGTTATAGAAAAAATTTTAAAATGTAAGCTTTGAAAAAGAAAGTTTTAGAAAAAAAGTTAGAAAAAAAATTTTAGATAGTTGGGTATAAATACATACCTATAAACTTTCGTATAAACATTCGATAGACTCGATCAATTTTATAATAATGACGCAATTTTTCAGTCTTATTAAGTAGTAATGTGGCATTGTCATGTGATTAGTCATAGCATCCTTAACTTAAAGGTTGACCTTAATCCTAAACCGGGATGTACGATAAGATCTGATATATAAATGAGATTATTTTTTATTTTTATTTTACAGGTCACTTCGTTTACTACGACTTTTGCTGTAAATTTTGTTTTAGAAAAGTATGTTATTTCTTTTTTACAGTTTTTTTTTTATTTTATTTATTTTTATTCTGTGGTTGAACCAATTTTTAAATATAAAATATGCCGAAATATTTTTTATTGTAAACTTAGATAAAAATGTGAAGAAGAAATAAATATTAATCTTTTTAGTATCATGGAAGGCAGGAAACGTAGTCTTTCGGTGTAAATTTATCGTCTTACTAAGGTAATGTTGTTACTGCATGTCTTATAAGTATAAATGACGACCATTTTTATTTTATTAAACCGAATAGGTATTAGTATACTTCTGCAGGCATTAATATAGAACCATCCTGTAGCAAATTTATATGTCACAGCTTCAAGTAGGATCATGTATTTTAATTAATAAAAAATTTAAGATACATATTGTATCAAAAATGATTTTTTCGTATGTATCGGAATATTTGGCCATTTCTTTATGTGATCCATATAATTCGAATCCATTACCCCAGAATTGTCTTACGTGATCGTAATTTCCGAATTTGATTCTTAGAACTATGACCGACGATGAAATTTAATTCGATGATCATTGTGTGGCGGAATCATTCCTAATTCTTTTTCATAACTGGACTTGGCACAGAATCGCCAGCTTCATTTATAAAATGGTTTTGTAGAAGCAAAGCTAAGGAGGTTCCACATTATCATATTGTTCGATATTAAGAAAAATTCCCTCACTACCTTTTTTTAACACTTCCCATTGGAAAAAAAAGCTTAGTCACGCCGGTGATGGGAAATGAATTATAGTCGTTTCATAGCCGTAGTACAGTATATTTTCTTTCTCGTCCAACACTATTAGGGTTGACAGATCTTGTCAAACCGACTTTCGGTTGAAATTTGGGTGATGAGTCGTTATTAATTAATTGCTGGATTAATCTAATTATTTTTTTTTATAGGCAATGTATGGAATATCAATTGACCGGATTCCACGATAAGAAACTTACGTGATGATTCTATGGACGAAAATTTCGATTATTGGATTCAGGATATATATGAAGTAAACAATTTATTATTCGTTAACTGATTTATATATAAATACTAATCAAACTTGTCTTTCTTAAAATTCCACACGGGTTTATGGAAATACAAAATATGAAGCGAGAAGGCACTTTCCAGTTGCGTGAGCTTGCACAATTGTAAATTATACAGACACATCACGACCCATAAAATAAAATATTTCCTTCTCATACTTTCCAGCAAATATCGGTTCATCATTGATCCAGGACTTCGTGATGCAATCATTACTTACCGATTCCAAGATCACGCGGGGTATATCAGGTTCTAGAAGAATATCATTGCTTTTCGAATTTTCCACTAGATGTTCCAAGCAAGCTTTTCAGACATATTGCTATTGACATTCGCCAGAAAATCTCTGTCGTATCG